AATCACAAATATCTTTTAGTACTAGATTTTTTAATCAATTAAAAGAGTAGATTATTTTTAGCAAATAATTTATTTTTATTATACTTTTTGAACTATAATTTAGTAATTTTGTAAATAATATTGTGAAAGTTAAACCGACGATGTATATACGCGAGCCACTTGATTGGCAAATTCCTAAAACTTCGATGAACGATAAACTTTAATGTAAACGTTAAAGTTTACATTCATTTGCTTGTATGTACATTTACGTAGATAACGGGCAATATTTCATGGAATGAATGTTGCAGAAAATAGTTTTAAGAATTTGTTTCGTGCATGATGTAACAGTTAACAGTCACACTTGTGTGCTTGTCCAGTCATATCGATGCGTTTAATAGTTTTAATATATATTGCATACATTGTGTAGATACATTGGTTCAAAAAGTTTTCATCAGTGAACATTAAAACATTTATAACGTGTTAACACTCCTGATTGTACAAAATTGCTTTATTTAAGTGCACTTAATTGTTACTCTGCGTGCATTTCTTTGCATTCTACAGAGACGATATTATTTATTTTAAAAAATACCAAATATTTGAAATATATTGTTATTGCATAAAATGTTTGTAGAAAATTCTACATAATATTTATGCATATTAATATCCTACATTTTCAATCTTACATATGACATTATAGTTTCTAACATTAATGCCAATTTAGAAAGTTCTTAGAAAAAAAGTGCAAAGTAGAAAGTAAAGAAGTAGAAAAAAGTATAAGTAGAAGCAAAAATTGGAGCACATCAGTATTTGTTATAGCAAATATAAATTATGAAAATCAAATACACACATCTCTCTTTAAAAGCACATTATTTCTTTTTTATGGCAAGTAAGTAAATTATAACATATATTACACGAATTATATGTAACATAAAACGTAATATATAAATATTACATTTTATTTTATAAAAAGATTTATCTAATTTTTTAATTTATTAATATTTTAATTTAACAAAAACATCATATATGTTTCTTTAAGTAATATACGTAGGATGTGTGGTAGTGACTGGACCACTTCTCGTGACCCACTGAATCGAAAAGTTTATTTTATACATTTTTCAATAACTAATGCGAAATTAATAAAGATACTACGCGAATCAGTTTGCGTCCGTGTGATTCGACGAAAAGAAGCAGCCTTCGAACCAATTCCTTATCAAACTACACTCCTCAACATAATGGTTTATGTCAGCCCTTTCTTGTTTACAAAAAATGCAAACCGTTTCTCACTGTCCAACCAATATCTATTTCCTGTTAGTTAAAAAAATAAAACGTAAATTTACAAAATTAAGATAAGCATTGCACACGTACTTGTAAATAACCTACATATTTTCTCTTAAGTTTTGCTTATATTGAGCGTTTGACTCCTTTCTATGTGGATTAAATTTAAGGAATATATACATTATGATTAGTTAAAAAATATTGAAAATAAATTATGTTAACAATAAACTTATGCTATTGTACATATACACATAAGGCTAATTTAATTGTTCTTATTTTAGACATAGGTGCTATTTTCCCATTTTTACCTGTTTATGGTAAGCAACTCGGTGTTTCTCCATTAGTAATGGCTACCATTACTATCACTTGTCCTATTTTATATATAATCGTCAAACCAATAGTTGGTTTTCTTCTGGATTATTTTTACACCAAGAAAAAACTGATCTTTATGATTATACTCGTCATTTCAAGTGGTTCCTACATTATGTTATATTTTTTACCGTCATTGGAAGAACCAATAGTATTAGATGAGTTTCAAAATGTTTCTTGTGCATCTTTATCTTCTTGTGACGTAGATTATGTAAGTTATTATTTTTTTTTACAATTGCATATTTTCTCGATATAATGTTAAGAGAATACTGTAATTTGTAATTTCGCTCATGCATTTATTTTACAGACAATTTTTTTACAAAATCGTGATCCTGACAACATATGTATTTTAAAATTAAACTAGAATTTAATCTCCTTTTTTATAAACCATGTTAACATATTATATAAAATATATTAAAAATGTATTTTTTCTAAATATTTTCGGAGTTTCTAAACTCTAAATTTTCAATAATATTTTATTATTAATAATTATTAATAATTATTAATTAACACTTTTTTATCTGTATATTTAAAAGTTCTATTTATTATTTACTTCAGAATTCCTCAATATCATATGACGGTATGAAAAGCATTATGTGTCATTGGGAATGCAAGGATACAAATTTTTCGATGCGGCTATCTTTTCGTATAGCTGAAAAGGAAGCAATTATTTTATCAAATACTACATGTTTATTAAATATTAACGAACTACCATTATGTCAAGAAAGGTCAACAGAAAATAATAATTGCAACGTTACCTGTAATAATTTTTTTAAGGATAATAATCTGTACACATCCATTACCTTCTGGGGATTTGTCGTCTTAATGCTTCTTGGCAATACTGGTGTTAATGTTTTCTTATGTATTACTGACGCAATTTGTGCTCAGATATTAGGTAAATAATATCATAATTATTATATATCTTTAAAACTGTTTATCGACATAAATATAATTATATTTTTGCATACATTTTTAGATATAAATAATATATCATATAAAGAAGAAATTTATGTGTTGAGTGCGCGCATGTGTGTTTCATAATATATCTGTTTATCTTTTTAGGTAAAAATACAGAAACGGAATATGGTAAGCAGCGTGTATGGGGTGGAGTCGGTTACAGTTTAGCAGCACTTTTAACTGGATATACGGTGGATACATGGTCCCAAGGAAAAACCTACACATCTTACACACCAGCGTTTCTTCTTGTGTTTGTATTTTTCTGTGTCGATTTGATCTGCTGCAGAAAATTAGAGGTAATTTTATAACGCATTAGAGAGAAAAACGAGTAAAAAAGAAGACTAAAGTTTTAGTAACACCTAATTTTGTTTTCATATTCTATTTTATATTTGTATATTACAGCTGCCGCGTATATCAACGTCGACAAACATATTAGCAGATGTATATGAACTTTTGAAATACAAATCCTTTGTTGTAATGTTGTGTTTTGCTGCCATTGTCGGTGCCTTGGATGGATACATGCTTTATTTTTTGTTATGGTACATTTGCGTCACTATATCAAAGTATTTTTTTCATTTGTTATAACATATTAAATATATTTAAAATTTAAACATAAAAAATCAAAACGTAAAAATTTAGACAAATTTACTTGTCATGTTATTTAAATTATTTGTTCTACTAGGTATGAAGAAGATCTTGCTATGAAGACCGGTCATATGTGCAAAATTAAATTAATAGAAGGTTTAACACTAGCCGCGGGAACTTTCGGTTGTGGGATAATGTTCTGTTTGTTTGGTACTATTAAATACTATCTTATTATGATTTGCTACATAAATGCAGCAATTGAATAATTTAAAATATTACGCTTCTCACAATATTAAATATATCTTTTTTTTAGGTAAAATATCACAAAAGTTAGGACATGGTTACACCTTTATTCTCTCTCTTACATCTTATGCAATACGAATGGGATTAATATCTATAGCACCGACACCATGGTGGATAATTCCAGCAGAATGTTTAATGCAGGGTCCATCATATGTACTTTCTCATGCAACAATAGTAGCGTTTGCAAATGCAATATCATTGCCTGGTACATATGCTTCTGTTCAAGGAATAATGGGAGGGACGAAAGAGGGTCTCGGTAAACTTTCAAATCTTGTTTTACATCAAAAGTCAATTTGTAATAAAAAAAAATTACACGAATAATATAAATAACTATATTAATTATATTAAAAAACATGTATACATGTATATATTAATGTGTAAAATGAGTTACACTATATTTTCAGGTATGGCTGTTGGTAATTTTGTAGGGAGCATTTTGTTGAAAAAATTTGGTGGTGCGTTGACTCTACAAATATATTCAATATTCACAGTAATTTCTGCGTTGGTGTTTCTTCTACTTTACATTACGCACTTAAAACATAAAATACCAGGCAAGAAATCTATAGTAATTTAATTCGACAAAATATGATAATTTGTCCAAGATATTGTTAAAAAATAACAAATTTTCTTTCTAATGTAGGCATACGAAATAATATTGAATGGAAAATGTCTTATGATGCACGAGGACGTTATGTTGTAGCAGAATAATGACTCAAGATCTGCTTTTTATGATATAAATATTATTTTTTAATTACTTAGGTAAATATTATCTAAAAATCTGTCAGTTTTATTATATTTTGTGCTGATATGCTGATATGAAATAGAGCGATATAAAGAAAATATGTCGTTATATACGTATGTGCTCATATTTGTTGAATTTTATTCGTTAATTTTATTTAACTTTCTTTGAGTAATTGTATCAGCTATGAGTTTGTAACGTACTATTACAAACTCATATAGCTGATACAATTAAGGTAATGTAATTTTCCATAAAGGTTTCGTTCATATACTTATATTATTCATTATAAAAACGCCACGATCTGCAAGGACATCTGCGCAGGCAGACGTCCTGATGCTCTGATAGCCAGTTACGAACCATTTGGATTTATTGCTAATCGCGGCGGGTGTCTTAAAGAAACGCGAGATTTATCAGCTTCAAAGACTCTTCGGCGTCTGTCAGATCGACCAGATGCAAGCGGAACGTTTCTACACAGAGACCATTGGTCAAGAACCGAGAGAGCCTTACGTTGCTATCGTGGGTGGTCACGCGGAAAGTCCTATGTTTTTATTTTCTAAGGCGAGACCGGATGTTCCTTTAATAGAAGAATTTAATGGAAGAAGAAATTAGAATTTTGATCTACCTTGTCCGAGATGCTGAGAGAAGAGTGATTCAAATAAGATGAAATTATTTCGCAATAAATAAAAGAAACGTTACTTGGCATACATTTTTACTATGTACATGATAAATATAAAATTTAATATCGCGCGTTTTTTTTTACTGCATAATTAGAAATAATTAAAAAGATTTCAGATTTTAATTGAAATAAAATGTTTTTAAAGTTAATTGGCGTGCAACTAGTCAGACATATCTTGTACTTATTCCTTATCTATTTAGTCAAAAGGTGCATTTACAATGATGTTATCGATGCTACTCTTTTATAAATTATGCCGTGCCATCCGTGCCATACATCAAGAGCTGGAAAGATATTATGTACGTTTATATAGATAGACGATTTAATGTCGCAACTTTAAAAAAAAAAAGTATATTTAAAATATTCGAACTGATATTTGAAAACATCTGAGAGCTTGCGTTGATATTAGATCTTACTTATATTACGTATATATTTAATTTTACGATTTGTGAAATCTCTTTAAAGTTTACTATCTCACAACTTTGTAGCAGATATTTAGAATGCCGTTATAAATGTCGCAATTATCTTCAATTGCATCATGACTTGCGGTATAAATTGCAAAGCATGCGACTAACGATATAATTGTTCCGCTAATCGGAACTGTGGAGTAAAAGTCAAATGCAGGTATATTGCATTGTGATAACAAGTTGCTGCACATTTGCCGGAAGGCTTCCGTATTCTACGTCGCAACAATATGCCGTTATCGTTACAATACGAACCGGATCTTGGACCAACCCGTGCAAGTAATTTTCAAAATAACACGGGTGTACCACGATCTATTGGTCGTTTGTGATCCAACGCATCTGTCATGCGGTTCGGAAGGGCTGATATTATCTTATGAAACGGAAATTGTACATTCCGCCATCACCCGCGAAAGATTTCGCCAATTTCCTCGTATAACCAATGACGCAATGACGCAATTTATTTGTCACCTGGAGCTATACTCGGCAAGGTAAAATGTAGACGTGAAAGTTCATAGCGCTCATATAGCATCAAATTAAGAAAAAAATGTATATTAGTTCCTCTTAGAAGCTATTACCGATTTACATATGTATATTATAGCGTTACATCGTAGCATTGCTCCGTATGCTATTGCAGCTATCCTATCAGTGATTTAATTTCGATAAGATGCAAGATTATATTCTTCCTAGAAATGAAAATAATTCTGCTCTATCTAATATCAGCGAAGTGTACAGCTTCGGCGCGCGCGTTTCATCGCCGTTCATTAATTAGCGGTCGCGATAGTATCGAGGCGCGCAATATTTTAGGACAGCCACGGAAAGTAGCTGAGCACGACAGGCGAGCCTATTAAAAATGCTTGTTAGAGAGTATTAGCGTCGTTTCGACGCGAGCTAGATCGCGACGTAAGATCACGATTAAAAGGCATTTACCAGACACGGCGGATTAAGAGTGACGCACGGTTCGACCGTTACCTCGTTAAAAGCGCGGAATTACACGCTCGAATTATGCGTAAATCTGTTCGTGATAGCCGCCTCTAAACATTGGCGCCGGTGGCACCCGACATACATAATTCACCAGGCGAGTCGCGCTAAGTTCCTGAACCTGAATCTTTATGAGGAAGTTGCGAATTAATAATAGATGGGCGTGGGGAGAGGCGAGGTGAGTTTTAGGAAGAGATGGGGTGAAGTGGAGGATTAATTTATGCAATTCTCGATCGCACGTTTCAGCGTTATTCTAATATCAGTTAATTTAAATCGCTCATTAGCATTCGACAGCGTTTGATTGTATTAATTTTTCAAATTATCTTATATGTTTATTAAAAGGATCTCTTTTAACTAGTGGTGCGATTAAAATTCGAATATTCGTGATATCCGGATATTCGGATAATCAGTTAAAATAAAAATTATTCGAATAGCCGAATATTTGGATAATAACTATTCGGTCATTCGGATAACTGGTTATTCGTATTATCCGAATAACACGCTATCCGTATTATTCGGATATTTTGAATATACATACGTATTATCCGAATATTTCTAATATTAAAATAATGCGTACGCAGATATGCATACTTTGCGTTGGTGGAAAGCAGAAAAAAAACTTTATGCTTTGCGGAGACAAATGTGGTACATTTCTCTACAAGTAGAAAACTGAAAATCTTAATTCTACTATATGCTATCATGCTAAACTTCAAATTTTATTATGTCAACATAACACTTCTCGACTTACGTATTCATTTGTGCTACGTATTTGTTCACGAAAGAAAAATGTTCATATATTATCCGAATATCCTCATATCTACGCTATTTTCGGATATCTGCATTAGCCGGATATCCGAGATATTCGAACATTTTGTTACAGATTATTTAAATATTTATATATCGGATGATCCGGATAACGAATATTCGTTATATCCGTTATCCGAATATTCGAATAATTTTTATTCGGATAGCCGCAGCCCTACTTTTAACAAAGCTTATCTACATTTTGCTTCTGAGGACCTTTAACTGTAATAAAACACATTTAAACATGCTTATTCATTATTTTAGATTCTCTAGATTACAGAATCATTTTCTAATATAGAAAAGGTGAAAACAATTTCCAACAAAAGCTAAGTAGCCTTGTACTTATACACATATAACGCCCAGCAGTTACGTTAATTTCTCAAATAACATTTTTATTTTAATTAAAACGAGTGATTTATGTTGATCAGGAATAATAGTTTCTCAAAATTCCTCAAATGTTCGGATAAGAGTATAATCAGCAAAAAGAATTTCCGTTTTCTGAATTACCTGATTAAAATTAAGATGGAGGATACTTCTCGTTTCATCGCGATAGAATTATAAATGTATCCTCCACGCGGATGATGATAGGAGAACAGGTAGCGGTATTTAAAAAGCTAGAAGGGGACGGACTTGCGATAGCACGCTAACCACAGTGTACCGTCGCATTAGCGATAACATAAAATTACTACGAGGCATGATTCTCACGAATCGCGAGATCTCAATGAGTAACCGCCGGTTTTATTGAAAAGCAATTGCTGCTCTGGGTTCCCGACGTGGAAAAAAAATTTTTGAACGATTGGATCGTGGAAAACGTTCTTTCGTGGTACTCCATCACAAGCAAGTGTTGTACTAAGTAATTATAACATTACGCGCATCGCGATGTGCAGCACCGAGGAGAGAGACATTAGAAATTCCCACGATGCTTATGACTATATTTTCGCGCGGTAGAGAGACTTCATTCTGCCATGCCACCGAAACCTTATTCTGCCACGATCAATGATCGGAATGAAGATGCATCGCCATCGTGCGAGTCGAGGCTTGGCACGAGAATAGGTATGCAGATATGATCGCCGCGACATCTCAATTTCGCGCTTTTCGTTATATCTAGTATCTATTAAATATGAGATTAAATATTTATTTGTGTTTAATTCTATAATTATATTAACGCACGTGCTTACAAGACGATTTAATCAACACACATGTAAAACATAAGTTTAGTGAAGCAAATACGCGAACGAGTATACGCGTTGTCACTAAATTAAAAATCTGTATTTAGTTCAGGTCAGATAAGGATACGTTAATTAGTTAGACTTATATATGTTACTTTTGCAATTTATATTGTACATTAATAAAATTTTTTCGCATTGGAGTTATCATGCAGTTGGATTATTCGCACTCTAGCCTTTAGCAAAACGTTTGTATTGCAACACCGTTTAATTTGAACTCTTTATCTGTGAATACTATGAGCATTATAGGTGCAGCTATATAGGAGTGAAGATTGAGAACTCTAACGCTAATGGCAAATAAAATTTTAAGAAAAACTCGATTAACGTTTCTCGCCGTTGATTTACGGCATCATTATGCTACGTTGATTTTATATATAAAGAAACGTATTATCGAGTATTATCGGGATCGCAAGGTGTGCACATTACCATCTTTTATAGTATTTAAAACGCCATATAACACGGCGTAGGTGCCTATTATAAGGATTAATCGTAGTTGCGTATAGTTACGAAATTTTCGCGTTCCCGCAGTTAAGACGGCCGTAATAATTCGCGCAAAAATTTCGCTCTTCTCACCAATTACGTAATAACAGAATGCACGGACGTGCAGATCAGCGCCTAATATTAAACCGTTGCTCATTGCGCGGCGGTGAAGCGGATTTTGCCGATAAGTTATGAATGTGCCATGATGCCATTAGAGTGAATGAATTGTGCGTTTATTTCCGCGCGTTAATAAATAACAGTCTCCTCGGGCGTTTCGCAAAAATTGGAGCAACCGCGTGCAGCAACGGGCCTATATATTTCTCATAAAGTTGCATAATACAATTTCGAGGAGGTTTAATTGTCTCTGTAGGGACAGACAAGATGGTGATCGCGGCATTTTATGATTATATCAAATAACAGCGTGATTTAGGCGTAAAATATGTATCTGCTGCTCAAAATAATGATTTTTGCCGAATTAAAGCGAGATGCTGATCCGCGAGTTGTCTGTATCACGTCGAGTCGACGAAAGCTCGCGCGCTCGCAAACCATCAAAGCACTTACGATGCTGCATTGTTCGATGCTGAAAGCACACACACCGATCGTTATCGCCTGAATCGACCAATTATGACGCAACGTTAATGATCCCGATGAATGGTGTCATCGAGTCAATGACACTGCGAGCGGTGCAGGCAAAAAAGCAGGTAGCTATACGAGCCGTACGTGCAATTAGCTCCACTTGCCATGCTATAATCACCGTATTACATCGAATCATTGCGATTTGCCTGGCATTTGAATGTGTCGAGAGAGGATCTGATAAAATATTTAAATCTTGTTAATTAGCATCATTACGCTAGGATAACTATAATCAAGTAGCTTAAACAGATTCTTTATCATAATCGCTATTGCTTGTAATAAAATACTAGTCACACTATTCCTTTCTCTGATTACTGGTTTTTATCGAAGTATGTTAAACATTTTTGAAATGTATTATATCTGTTTATATATACGCATATTACTTTCTATTATTAATTTTAAATGTTAGATTTCTAACGTGTTAGACATTACACACGGTTTTAATGTCAGTGTAAAATAATATAGAATATATGTGCGTTATTCTACAGAAGAAGGTACTCATAACATATATGTTGTTAGCACTATTAGTCTTACTTTTAGTTCATTCGAATTAAAATAAAACTTCAATTTTACTGTAGCTTCAAATTCTCTGTATATATTTACACTTCGCCTACGAGTTTCCGCAAGACGGGTGCAATGGTCGTTGCCTCGGAAGAATGTTCTGTTATCGTACGAAAATTATTTCTCATACTTCGATGAGTGCGATCGAGAGGGTGACCCGGTATATTTATTTATAGTATCGTGAGCGCGAACGGAACGGAGGGTGATGAACGACGATGATACAAGGGGCAAGATGCAGTCTGGACGCACTCTCCTTGCTCTAGGAACGCGGCAATTTAGCGATATCAGCCGACAGACCGACGTGGCTAATTCTATCTACGTAGCGCCACTCGATAATTTATACTTGTGGAAATGTATTAGATCGCTGCCGGAGCGACCGCTAATTACAGGCTGCCTTGTATGCGAACGCATCTAGGCTGCGAAACGAGATGTTAAACTATACTCCGGCGAAAGTCACCCGTCCGTTATCAATTTCAGTTGCTGTCATCGCTTCCTCCTAAAACCGTTGAAAGTACGTAGGTTCTCGCAATTAATTGCGATTTTCCCAACATTTGAATTTAGAAAATGATTTATGTAGATTTATGCAGATTTTCAATGTAGATCGGTGTCTTTCGAGAAATGTTTCCAAGAATATATCAGTAATATACATACACACAAGTATATTCGTATCTAAGAAGATATTTGTCTCTTATAAGATTCTATATAATAATGAGCAGTTAACCAGTCATAAATTGTCATAAATCATATTGATGTTTCGCAGCAGCAAGATTTGATGTACGACCGGTTGTACGATGTACTAGAAACGTTCTTCGTTTTCTTTTGGTACAGAGAAACCAGTCAGGTCCCACCTTTGTCATATATTTGCTCGAAATCTCGTCATCGTTGATCTCAAGCAATTCTTTTCAAGAAAAATAAGATTCCGGGAAGAAAATTAAATTAAATAACTTCGCTATATAATCATAATATCACGTAATACCATAAACAACGTATCTGTATATTTATCTCTGATTATATCTTTGGATTAAATCGAATTATTAAACCTTGACTTTATATTGGCTGCTTTAAAATTATTTTGCATTTCAAATAATAAAAAAATTTTAATTTTACTCCTATCTTTCTTTATATTAAGTTTTCATAAAATAAAATTTTTAGATTTTACAAAAAAACGAAAACTTATTTTTATTAGATTTTAGAAGACTAAAAGGATAACAATTTTATTGTAAAAGATCCTTAATTTCAGGCTTATCAAAGTATTTAAATTTTAGAAAAACATGATTTAAGTAAACTTTTTGTTGGAAAAAATTAATTGATTTAGCTAATAAATCTCTGTCTATGTTACAAACAAAAAAGGCTTTGTACTCTGAAAGTATTGACATAGACTAATTCTTTCGATATTTTTGTATTCACAGAATCGCTTTGGCCGTTTTCCAATTGAATCAATAAATATAATAGATTAATTAATTTCTGTCAAACTCTCTTTCTGTATTATTTAAAGATTTGCGTCACGAAACGAAGAAAAGCGATATTTTCATCTATTAAAATAACGTCTTCATACTTGGTTGCCAGGTGACGCGCCGTGGCGGAGGCGCCCAAAGCTCGGTTCCGCGACTCTACGCGGGCGTATAAAATCGGTCCTCCACCGACAGGAGCCGTCAGTACGAAACAACACCTCTGACAGAGAAACTCGACTCTCGGGATCTGCTCACTGGCCTGCAATATGCACCTCTTGCGCTTTACATACGTTTAGATTTACACGCGAGATAATATCGAAAAACAAAATTATCGCGGGGGGGGAACACTGGATGTAAACTGGATATAAATTCCCATACAGCCATTCCACAAAGATATTTTGCATTTGCAACGCTGATGAACAATGTTTTGTTTGTCGATCGGTGGCGTTGATGAACCAACCAGCTGGTGAACTAATTGGCGACAAGTCTATTAGCTTACAAAACCGAAGACCACGCCTTCGGGATAATTGTGTAATTAAAGTGTGATTAATCGAGATGAATCTCTACGATGTGATAATAATTTGCTCTGCAAATTTGCAAATAAGAGCCGTATTCTGTGATCGATATGTGAGTTGATATTAGCTGACGTGTCTGGTTAGTGTTCATTCTCTGTCAACAATTTCGCGTACAGTCCGAACTCGGTGCAACAGGTCAGTCAAGTAGTCACAATGATCACGATTTGACGTGATCTTCGTTTTTAATTAAAAATGAAGGCGTAAGACAATGTAATTATCTCTTCTAATATATTTAAGAAAAATTAACAATAATACTTTTCAAATTTAAAATTATATATAAAAGATACACGATTTTTAATGTAGTTATAACTATATAAAATGTAATTGAATTATTTTTGCAAATATAATAATTATATAACTTCGTATAAATCTGACTAAATAAAAATAATTATGTTTTATTAATAAATTGCACGAACGTTAAAATAACACCTGCATAACACCTTAGACATTTCATGATAATCAGAGTTAAATAAAATTTATTTGCATCCAATTTGGCAATTACAACACGAGTAATACGTCTAGTTCCGTACTTGTAATTATCGTAGCCGGTATAATTGCGAACGCAGCCGGGATTGAAAATATGCAACGCGCAAAACTGTGATTAGGTATACGTTCCACTCGGACGAAAATGACTCCTTGTTCGCAAGCTTGTTCACAGGTTCGCCTTTTGCAAACGTGTATTTATAGTATGGTAACGCTGACGGGGTTCGATAATCGTAAAAATAAACGGTACATCGCGACTTGCGTAAGATTCCCTCAAATGCCCCATCTCGCCGTGATATACGACGTGTTTTCTCTGTAATAAAGTAAAGACTCCCAATAAACGGTGGCCCGATAGAAAACACACACGCAGAAACGCACGCAAATAATTTTCTAGCTCGTAACAAGGGCTCTTACATACGTACGTTGAACAATTGTATGGTATTTTCAACATGAAAAGAATTCTCATAACAGGATATTCGTTATATAAAAATTGTAAGCTCTTAATACAAAAGTACAATGTCTAGAGAAATATATTTTTTGAATATATTCTGATAGAATAGGTAAAATCACATGCAAAATATTAGTAAATAATTATTATGTTTACACTATTTATTGCACAAATTATAATGCAATGATTAATAAAATAACCAGTAGTACTAGTTAAATAGACTGCATTTAATGAATTATGAGATATTTTAATACATAAAATCGCCAATTTTATCTAGTACGATAACTAGTTTTCACCCGAGAGATGTAAACTACATGCTTTGCTCAAAATGTTAATAAAATTATCATGCACGCGCAATTTATTCGCCATGCAGGCGTGAGCGATGCAATCGTGGTGCGTTCGAATCAGTAATAATTGTAAACTTAATGAGCAATTCGTACGCGATTTAATGATCATATCTCACGCGGGCTAATTTGCATCGGTCGCGCGCACCGTAAATAACGCAGGCCGCAATCCCGTTTCGAGTGTCAATAATGTCGACTGTCTTTTTTTTTTAATATTGTGAAATATGCTCTTCACGGAACAACGTGCGTCGGGTTACGCGACGGTTCACCGGTGCATTGACATTATCGCGAGGAACTATCGCATTTCAGAATATATGCAGCGGACGGTGAGCGCGCAAATGCTCTGCCGTCTGCTCCGCGAGAGAGTTCTGTTTCTTGCAAAAATTCTCCGGTACTTCGAACCGGCACGGTCGACTGCCGCAAATTTATCGTACGCGATTATGCAAGCGCACTCGTATAATTGGCGACGCGACTTTGCGCAGCCTTTGTCGGCAATTTATCTACGCAACGCGTAGATTTGCGCGGGAGCAGGCTTTCCCATTTCAGAGCGATCGATATTTACGATCCGTTTGTAATCAGCAGTCCGCGCGTGTAAAATTCTCGTCGTCCGTTTGCTAACTTTGATGACAGAATGTCACGCAAATCGATCTTATTGCTTTAAATTAAACTAAATGGAAGGCATATCTATTTAAAGTTAAAAGATTTTAAGAATATAATCTTAATCAATTTTAATGTGTATAACTATACGTAATGAAATGCGTTAAATCTCTCTGGTATGTATAATCTGCGGATAATTCTAGCTTCGGGCTACTCCACCTTCGACAGGTCGACGTACGGGTAATATAGGTTCTTGTCTAACGCTCACTAGCAACTGGAGCATGAAAGCATTATACGTGCATATTCGCTCACATGCGCGCCAGCCGATGACTTCTCTAATATCCAATTTCCTTCGCATCGGCTTAGCTTCTTCAGCGTCACGCTACAACATTTGGTTTGAATGTCAAACGTCATTTAAGCGCAAACAAGTCATAATTAATTTGCTATTAATTAAATAAATGACAGGTTATGTTATTTTATTATTAAATGTCATGATATGTTGCAATTTATCAATTTCTATAATTTTATTCAAATATTTGTACTGTTTCCATTTTTATAGGAATAAAATATACTTTTCTAATCTTCTGAATTTAAAATATTAAATGTCTTTGTTTGGAATATTGTTAAAAAATATTAATAACTAAGTACATTTTGTTTTTACTTTATCTGTAATATCATATTTGTGGCGAACTTATAATGTGTATTTCTTAAAATGTAGTTTCATTGTTTAAAGCACCCTTGAATTTTATTTTTATAAGAAAAGCATGACAAAAAGATACAAGTAAAAAAGTAAGTGTGAACAAATTTGATATGTAATAAATGATTTAATTGACGTTTTATCAAGCAATATCACATTTGACGCAACGGTGAATTTGCTAGGGTTCAATCAAGCACTCGTAAAATTGCGGATAGTCGGAACTTTATAGAGACGATGATGTAATTGCATTCCACGCGATTCGTGCCGATGTTCATGAGGTTTTATCTCTGGAATGTTACAATGATAATACTGTTATCGTCACTGTTCACGAAATATCACAGGAATAACTTAAAGATTCGATCATATCGCAGATTCCGCGACATAATTGCATAAACAGTTATAAAAATATTAATCGTGTTGATTCATTTACTGAAAAAGATTCCAAGTATTTACATTTTTTATTATTACATTCTAAAATAATATTATTTTAATATTTAACCTTCCATTACGATATTGTTGAATAAACGCTATTGCCAGAAATTGATTAAAACAAAAAATTCAAAAAAGCTTAGTTAAGAAGACTCAATTTAAAAAAATCTAATTTCTGTAAATTATTTAAAATACTAGCATTAGAATAGTTATTTGTGTAACAAGTGAGGTAATTTGTGTAACAAGTGCGGTTACCGCACTCGCCTTCGGCTCGTGCGTAAACTCCGCACCTGGGAATTTTCATCTTTACACACGACTTACACTCCCTATTTTATGTTGCAAGTGCCTGGAAAGTGGTCTATCACGCACGCGTAGCGTGCGTAATGGGGCACTTTCCATGCACGTGTTGCATAAATACAATTTATGATAATAATCGCATATATTCACACAATATTTTAAAAAATTAGAATATTTTAATAAAAACATTATTTTTTTTTACAATTTAACAACTTTGATTGCTGAACACATCTAGTCAACGACAAATCTACCGATAACGCAACAAGCAGCATTTAAAACAGTGAAAAATGACGTAAGAATAAACGTGCAGTGCGGAAAGAAAAGTGCGCACTATCTCACCGGAAGCAAGAGCGAAAATCCGTCAAGATGCAGCCACTCGTCCTTCCCTTTTTGCTGCTATCTTTAACGGTAAGGCATAAGCGCAACGCGACTAACGTATATATTGACGTGTGATTTACCGCGCCATTAAGGCCGGCCGTCCGGTTGCAGCCTCAATGTCAAACTCGTATATCAAACGTGGGCGAAATTGTTCGTAAATTTGTTCCGGCACATGTCACGAACATCGCGCCGCCGGTTCCCGATCACTGAGGTCGATCGCGTAATTTCTTCTTAGAAATGGAAAGGTAATGGATGACAATTTTTGCGTTACAATTCACGAAAGACTATAGTTTTCATCGAAGCACGAAATGGTGACATTCTAACAGACGAGATTCACACCGGACTAGAGAAATGAAGACTAAAATGAAAAAATGCGTAAAAGGTGAAAAAGGTGAATCATTGATCATTATGTGACTAAGGCTTTAACAAATTTTATTCTCGAATTTTTGATACTAAATATTTACATAGAAGCCTTATTTTCAATATTCTTCTATTAATTAGTTTTGACAATTGTGTGTTAAAATGTTTAATTAAAAATATATAATATTTATAACCGATAAAAATTCACATAGATAAGTTTACAAAAATTTTTTAGAGTTTATCTCCTATATTTATTGATTTTTGTGAGACAGATTATATCAGACTGTTTTAGTATCTATTTTCCTTCCTTAATCCACGATGCTTTCTCGGTCGACGATGAGACTTCCGTCGACGAGGTAATAAAAAAGTGTTACACAATAACAGAGTCTTTTTATGATGATAAGAATTTTTTATAAGAAAGCATAGCTTTATCTATATATATATGTACAGTGGAGAGATTCTCTTAAAATACATGCATATATTTTGGACGAAGGTTAATGCACCGGCACGTATATAGTTAATGTCATTCGGCATGCTAGTTAGAATAGAAATTTCGGAGTTTATAAAGCAGACTCATATTTGAAGCAAATAAAATTAAATATTAAATAAATTAAATAGAGAGCAATAACAAAGAAACTTTTAAATTAATTAGGATTCTAATAATAATATTATATAAATATTATAAACTAAAAATTTAGAGAAATTGATCAAATTATCTATTCCACTTTTAATACGATGCAGATAACAACTAATTATTAGTAATTATATATTTTATGTTTTCTAGAAAATTATAATAAATGTTATAATGTATGCTGTAAAAGAATTCATTTTTTATTACATATTGTCCTTTTATAAATTTCCGGTTGTCAGATTCAGATCAAAGTGTTATGTTACATATTAACTGATCATGTTTGTGTGAAATGAAAAATAGATTCAAGCGTGACGAAAGCAATTTTGTGAAAAAGAGAAGAGTATTACTCCTCTAAAAAAAAGGTAATATCGCAGGATGTTAATTGGGACAAACGATCACACATCAACCTTGTAGACTAACGTCATCATAATATTATCTCAACCGGATCGGCTTGTACGTAAAACGATGTTCTATTAGCATAATCTAAGCGCTACTGGCGCCTAATTATAGACAATTTAAAGACGTGCGAGGATCGTTCTTTCTGCGTAAACGAGCGGCGACACGCGGAGAGGTTTCGGAATTAATTCGGGACTTTCACAGATGACTCGATATTCGCGCAGTCAGGTTTCGGTAACCTATATGCGGTAGATTATGCCATGAGTAACTAGTACGCCGAATGCTGAGTAGGAAGTCTCGCTTAACGCATTCCTGCGGCTAAGTGTTGCCGGCGTAGCGTATTTTTAGAATGGCAGAATAATATAATCGGAGCCGAATGTGCAACTTCCTGCCACATGATCCGAAATCGAATCTCAGTCGCTACAAAAATTCTTTCTTCGAAAGAGTAGCGATAAATTTTATAATCTCTATAAATACTTCTCTCTCTTAAGAGTGAGGATTAATATATTTATTCCTCGCGCAGAAACTCTTGCCTCATTTCACACACGTGACAAAGAATTCTTTTAAGCTGCAAGTTTTCCGTTTTTCCATAAATTTTATCATCAATTATTGCTTCTTTCGCATCACTGCAGTTTTGTACGGTCATAAGATTAGAAAATTAGAAGCCGAATACGTGCATACGTAGAAACATTAAAACACGATAAACTAATAGATTTGTAGGACACCGAAATTTTCAGAAGAGACTGTTTTATTTTTTACGTTCGCTCGTAAAATTGCAGTTTTCATTCACTCGGACATATTTGACATGTTTATGTGGCGGCTATTCGTCTTCATTATTGTAGGAGCACGGCGCCAGAGGTTTACGCCGACCCCCGCATGTCCCCAATGTGTTTGCCTCCAAATCGCGACGACGTTTTTATTTTCTCCGTATATCCGTTTCGTTTAATGGCTCGTGAGATTTCTTTGGATTGAGAGTGGAACCGAATTTATTTGACTGGTACCGAGAAGACACCCGTTGTCGGCGAGCCCCTTCGTTGTTGTCATCGTCTTTTCGTTCACGTCGAAAGATTTTATATATTGGACGTTTAAGTGTTTGTAGTTTATAATTAATTGCATAGAAGAGGAATAAATGGCGAACTCCTCTATTCAAAACATCTCGTTGAAATCTTCGTGAAGACACGCGGAAGAGTACATAGAATAAATGCATTGCGTAAATAACGTAGAGTTATCTATTTTGACTCTAACGGAGTGTAACAGCATAAAATAACGTGTTACATAGAAGATATTTGTATTTCAGACGGAAATAATAATATTAAGATTGGAATATGTGATACCTAAATTTCTTGCAATAAATTTTTCGACGTAATGATCGCGTTTTTCTTTTTAATACTGAAATATGATCTTTTTAATTGTTCTCTATTATTTATCAGAAATCTCTTTATTCGTTAAGTAACAGATAAAGAAATTTAAGAAAGTATTTTGTTAAAAGAATTTTGATGTTTGATCGAATAAAACGGACCTATAAAAAGATCGTCGCGATGCATGGTCGCGCAGCAGGTTTGTCATTATGCGCCGCATTTATAGGGCGATGGGGATTTAACAGCTTGAGTGGCCACGAAAATAACACGCTGAAAATAAGCGGTAAGAGATTCGATGTTATAGGTATCATCGCGAGACGATCGGCTCGACGCCGTCGATCTTGATTATCGTAAAAAGGAAGACGCGCCGCGGCGCTGCCTCATGCAGGCGCACTCAACTACTTCACTCTCGTCGGTGACATTACGCATAATCAGCTAAAGCTGGCGCTTAGAAATCTGACGAAGTGCAGAACGATCTCCTAATTCGTGTGTCTATATAGGTACTATACTGCTCACCGCTGTAAATGCGGATAAATTGAAATAGAAGGATTTACATTATTTCTATGCTGTGATAAATAATAAGAAATTAATACAGAAATGTATCGTATTTCATATTCAATTATAAAGCGTTTCTTGCTGTTGGCTAAATTAATGAGATATTAAGTTGACAAATTAAACACAGGAAGTGAAGAATTGTATAACACGAGGCGGTTAATTAGACGACTGGGACGACCTGCGCGCGACGTAATCTCGGAGAACCGGAAAAAATTATTTAACCGTTCACAAAGAAAATGGTTCTTTCTTAATCGCGTGTTCATACGTTACTCGGTGATACGCAGAGTGTACACACGACCGTATTTTATCGCTATGTAAACACCTAATGTGGCCGAGGTGCTACATGAGGAGCTATACATATACTTACGCAGATACTCGACTAAATTATGGTTCGTTCGTTATTATTTACGATATGTATGATGCGATTCGATAAATTGTGATATTAGCTTGCTAGCTGAAATTATTTTGCCTAAATGCGGTACTTTTGCGCAATCGCCTCTGCTGAAATGGACATTTTTATCAGCGCAAGCGTTTGAAATCGATGGCCAATCTAGATATGTATAATAAATTTTTTAAATATTTACTTTGCTTGAAAACTGGATTCAATTAGTGACCAATACTTAGAGATTATACTTTGTTTATAATAATTTAAAAAACCAAAGGCCTAACAATATATAGTTCTTGAAGAGAGAAAAAAAGAAACAGCTACATTAAAAACTTTCTTCTTTATTTAAATAATTGTTTTACACCTTATTTTATACCTATGTCTTATATATATATATATATATATATATATTCATATCCGGATTTGAAATTAGTAAGATATTTCTATATTCCATTTCTTTATGTCGTTCTCTCTTAATGGAAAATGGAATCTTTCATATTTCGGCTTGAACGTTGAACGTTCTACGCCACTGTGCATTCATTGTTCGCCGCCGATTTATAAATTCACTCATGCGATATTCATACAATTAACATCGTGCGATCTCGCGTACACAAACGGCAAGCAAGTTGACATTCATCCCGAGTTAATCCAATTGGAGAGAGAGGAGTGTCAGTTTGGGCGCGGCTTGATGTGCAGTTCGCCGATTAAACCTGGTTGAAAATGAACGGTCAGCCTCAATCGAGCAGCGTCACCCTTTCAGAATGATCCCCGACGTGTAAAATGTCGAATTATGTTGTTGTATTTTATACGTCATGCAGAGACATATCGCTAAGAAAACTCGAGCGAGTTAGAATACTAGTGAAATAAAACTTTAACTTGTCTAATAGAGAGTATAGAGATTGTAATATGTGTGTTGTAACTTATAGTAAAATAGTATAATACATACTTCTTTAGCCTAGTCGAGATAAAAGATGTAGTAAATTTATTAAATATTATATTCAGGTTTAATTCCCATTTATGTACATTCGACACATGTAACATATTTCATATATTCAACAAAACAAAAACTTTTACTCGTTTTTAATAATCTTTTGTTAAAATATAAGGGAAATTTAGAATAATATTGTAGATAATATTGTTAGAGAATTAACAAGGTCACTTAGTAATAGTAAAGCAGTGCGGGAGCGATTCGTAGCAAGAGAAATGATTTATTGCTGCAGAGATACTAGCAAGCTGATGGAAGAAGCTCGAGGTATAGATTAAGCGAGGGTTCTCTTTTTCTCTCTCTCACGTACACCGGTATCCGTACCACAACCGGGCCACGTGGCGCGTACAACGTGATAATACTTTGATCGAGATTCAGGTCGAATCGCGCATCTTACATCTCCAAGCTACCGTTTGATCACTTAGTTAACCTTGATGATCTTACGTGGCGATTTGACGAGGAAGCAAAAATGTTCTACTATTTTGATATAGTAGGTCTTGATGCTTTTAAGCTATTTTGGTGTCTTTACGTAGATATTCCAGAACATGCATCATGAATGTAACTTTTATGTAATTTATGTTGGAACGATCATATAGAATAACATTCAACAAGAACAAGATATAACATTCTGTTATAATTTTCTTTTAAATTTCAATTATTTCTTTTAATTAGTCCCTTTAATGATTTCGAATGTGCTGTATTAATTATTATCTCTGATTTTCTATGTGTGTTATACCTTCCTATAAAAATAGATTTGTTTGAGAACCGTGCGTCTAAAAGGTGTTCTTGCGTATCGTACTCGTGCTAATTTCCAGGACCGAATTCGCGACCGGTGTTTATTTCTGTGCATTAGCGAAACAGTGGGTGCGGTAACCGTGCAAATGTAAAATGCCCGTCCGCGCGCCAGAGAAACGGAAAGGGTGACGCGAAATTATGGCTGTCAAGACGTAAATTTAGACGACGATTTGCCACCGTTTCGGTCCGCCTGCATTCTATTCACCTCGTCTGGCTAAAGTCGCAACAATAAGTCCGCTGGAAATAAAAAGCGAAGTGTAATCGCGTCACAAATTGAAATGCAGAGAAGATAAGATTTATTACCTAAAATATATATCTTCTAACTTCTGACTGTTTTTTAATCTATTGTTTGCAAAATTTTCGCATCTCACGGTGCATTTCACAGTGTAGCAATTAATGCACGGAAATCGAGAATTTTTATCAAGCATACAAGCATAAATCACCCGTCTGCATCGGGCAAAATGGGTGTGTCGCTTCCTATTAATTCATTTCGCAGATTGACATCAGCATGGTCGCACATACACTCTGCTGATTTCATTTTGACATCTAGAAAAATTGGAATGCACGCGAGAATGTCATTCATTACCTAGTACCCGTTCAACGGAATGCTCGGATCTATGATCTTGAATGCCGAGGCTGCGAAATTTAGTCTATGAAGTCACGATTTATTATCTTTCGCATGAAATTCTTGGCTGGCACGGCCAAGTTAGCACATGTTATACCTACTGTTTCAGTGTGGTGTGAAATTTGGCAGCGGTCATCTGATAGATGGAATTTTCACGATGCCGACTTTGGAACCGGGTTATAATTTGGTGGCGGTGGTCCCACGTGGCGCCTTGGCACTGAACGTGACCGAACTCCGTCGCACGCAGAACTATCTTGGTAAGAGAAACAGGAATTTATGACTATTGATGAAGATAAATTAAGATGGCTGAACTATTTTCATTCAGCTCCACGCTAAACCTTGCATCGAACATTTTAACCGCGTGGGTGCCCCATTTATTGAAGTATATAAGATTGCCAATATTAAGCAATATATTTCATATTTTAGAGCTTATACTGTAACATCATATTTTTAATTATTAAGTTTATTTAATGTATTTTAATGCCTTCTGAAGCCGCAACGTTACAAAACGTATAAAATTTCTTTGATAAAAAATGATAAAGAAGCTAAGAGAGAGAGAGAAAGAGAAAGAGAGAAAGAGAGAGAGAGAGAGAGAGAGAGAGAGAGAGAGAGAGAATAATTTCTTTATTACAGGATATAAATTAATGTCAACGCAACTTTGTGCATATGCAACTTAGTGCATTTTGCAATGTAAATTGGACGTTACATGATCAGGACGTGACTAGCGACTCTTTTTACTGACGTCCAGATACTGATCAGCGCTAACATTAATTGCGCGGTTGGCGCCAGATAGAATAATTCAGTGGTATTGCTTTGGATTTCGTGGAAAGCGCAGGCAACCGGTTGCGAGGAATGCATTTCCACCTACCATGATTTCTTACTGTTTATGCACTGTTTACGGGTAACCCGTTACATAGCGTGGTCGTTAAATAGCGACCGCACCCGACGTTTAAGATCATCATCGTCCCGCGAATATGATTACGTCGTCCGCGCGAAAAATTAATTTACGACAAGCATTTTGCTTGCGAGATAAAAAAGGTAACGTGATTTAAGAGATTAAAAATGACGATATTTATTTCAATAAAATTATAAAGTTATTATACTGTAATAAACATTTATGTCAAGTTACAAAAAATTTAAGGATTAAGTTAGAGATTGAAAACAAATATAAATATTAGGGTAATGACGTTCACTTAATTATCTGATTAGTTATCTGTTATTACATCAGACATCTCAGTTAATTGTTTCTGAGTCTTTAAGAATACTAATTTCCCCTGTCATAAAACAAGACATATTGCAGGTGTCGCGATTAGTGTATAGTTACGACTATTGAATTTGCAAAAACCAATTAACTTTTTTTTCTTTAGAAAGCATAATGCATCAAAAAGACCATACCTAACTTACATAATTCATTACGCAAAATTCACGCTGTATGATTCTTAGTTTTGGAGATTATACTTTTTAAGAAATACTATGTTAAAAACTGCAAAATATTTGCAGCATAATTAATCGCGAGCTACATACATTCTTTCTTCATCTTGTTAATTAATTTAAAAGAGATATATATACATATAATGCGTTTTTTACATTTAACAAATTTTAAAAGCAATAATTATAATAAAAATTGGCTGTACATAATATTAAATTAGCATTTTAAAAAGTATAAACCATAAAAAATTAATAGTTAATATAACAATAAATAATAGACAGTTTTATAGCAATGTTTAAAACCATATTTAGACCATTACTTATTTGCTAATAGCATTATTTTGTAATAAGTTTGGTGGTGATATGCTATTTAAAAAATTTGATTAGAAATTGAGTCTCTATTACATATGAAGGCAATCATCATTGTACTGTCTTTGATGCCTTTCGAATCCATTCATCGCTCGATCGAAGTAATGTAATGATTACCTTTCACGGGATACGAATAACAGATCGTAATCAATGCGTCTCCTATATACAATGATGGCGTCGCCGATAAGCAAAATGAGTCGCCAGCAGCGTGATTAGTTGCGATCGTTAACAATACTGTCGGCACCTTCATTACCGCCGACGTGGTCGCGCCTCCCATTATCCTCACTTAATCTGGGAAGATGAATGATTCAAGGGAAATCGATAGGAAATTGCGCTTCGCGTGAAATTAAATCCATCTAATCTTCAGGGAACATAAAAACATAAATTGACATAAAATTTACAAGATGTAGTTAATAAATTATTATGTATATGTATAATATGTTTATAACAAAGTAGAGTATTTTGTAAGGCGATTGTAGGACGTGTTAAAATTAATTTAGGCATCAGAAATTAAATTCTGCAAATGCATTTCCGTCAGCTTTAATCCATTTGTTTTTTGTGAATTGCGCTTTTAATGTAAACGTAATTTAATCTTTCGCGGCGCGTCGTAACTGGAACGGGGCCCGTTGTTCCGCTAAATTAGATGCACCGGCCCGTGCCACGTGGATTACATAAATCGCGCGCGGCCGTAAACTCGCTCATAAACGACTGCTATTGTGCGCGCCCAAGTCTCGTTTAAACGATCGTGCGATTGCCAACTTTAGCGTGATCCATGTCAATCGACGTGTCGAAGATCATCCTTGTTCTATAAATAGGACTAGGTAGTTTATTCGAAAATAAATGCGGTCATTGTAATTTTCTCGTTTTTAACTATACCAATATGTTTGTGATATAGGTACATATATATTTGTGACAAATAAATGTTTTTAAGATATACATAGTAACTGGAACGTACTCGTTACATATAAAATCTATGGAGGGTAATTAATAGCATTGGCTATTCTTTTAAATAAATGTAAACAATTTTATTACAATATTATTAATATTTCTATAATCTGCATCTCAGATGCTGCACAGAAAATCAAATATTTCTTATAATTTAGAAAGTACGTAATAAAACACGATAATAAATTTGCAGCGATTAGATTGCAAGATGGTAGCTATTTGTTGAACGGGAATAATGTTATCAACTGGTCTGGCGAGTACAAAGGAGCTGGAACAACATTTGTTTATCGTCATCAAAGTCCTCAGAATTTAGAAAGCTTTTCTGCCGCGGGGCCATTACAGGAACCTATAGATGTCATGGTAAGTAAAATATGATATAATATAATATAATATAAATCATATAAAGTAACTTAATTTTTATCTTTGTCATTTATACGAAGGAAACCAACAATCATCAAAGGAAATAATTATCACGTTGAATTATAAATATCTTAAATAATCTAATAAATATATGCGGAAATAATTAATTGCAGAGGCTTTCTTTATATACATTACATTTGCATTCAGCGATGTTAGTCAATGTTTGTTCATAGAATAAAAATATCTATTAATATTACATATATAAAGCTTTATATTTTATGGAATATTTTGCATCCTTCGGCCAAATTGTAGACATTGTTATAACGCGACCGTAATAATGGCGGCTCAGAGTAACAATTGTTGCGCGCTAGCAATCGTGGGCGTTAATGAGTTCAACCGAGTTCCATTTAACCCTTTCACCGCTGATTTTCCGCTGCACATTGTCATAAATCGTATAGGTTCTACGTTTAATGATGTTAAATTGCATACTGTTCCACTTTTGGAATACTATTTGGAATTTAATAATTATATGAACTATCTAGTAATAATTCAATAATTAAAAATTGTCTGATAATAGTTTAATAATTAAAAATTAGATCTCAATTATTTTTAATTCAGATCTACTTAAAGTATATAACATAATCTAATTTTATTATTTCGTAGGTTTTGTATCAGGAACCAAACCCTGGTATTGTTTATCGATATCGGATTCCCGGAACTACAAATTTACCGAGAAGCAATCATTTTCCGCATAATTCAGGTATTAATTTATTATAACCATATATTTATAGAAAGAAAGTAATTTCGAAAGCATACTGATTTTAAAATATTTCTTAATTGTATTACAGATGAAGAATTGCTTTTTACTACTTTGTTTGGATATTCATTTTTAGGCTTTTTAATTTTATTTTTAAAAAATTGACAAGAAAGCAAAAAATAATGCTTTAAAAGTTAATTTTCTTGAAATAATAAATATTAGATATTACATGTATGCAAAAAATTATTAAAAATAAAAAATTGTTTAATTATAGTTTCCAATAAAGGCGTTGAGCATAGCTTACAAAATAGAAGGTAAGAAGTTCATAAACTAACATTTAATTAATTTAATAAATTAAGACATTGTTTATATGCCTTTTGATAACAATAAGCGTCTCATTAAATTTTTTATTTAATAATTAAGTAATTACAAAGAATTTAATTTTAGATTCAAAAATGAGCCAGCAGTGAGTAATGTAACGTCTCCACCGCATTTATCACGACGGTTTAGGAAAAGAAAATTTATCTGGAAAGCGATTGGTCATAGTGAGTGCAGCAAATCATGCGGCGGAGGTAAACGAGAATTAGCTGATAAGTAGTTGATTTTATGACAAGTTTTATAGAGACCCGCGCGGGTACAAATGGTTTTGATATGTTACATAAGGTGTACAGATACTCAGACACGTGTGTATCGAGGAGCACACGCAGCAGCCGGTATCGGAGAAGAGATGCCATGGGTTGGAAAAGCTGCACGAAATTCGCCTCAGATGTAATACCATGCCATGTCTACCTAGGTGATTTTAATTTATATTTTATACGCGTAAAAAGTTTCTTATACATATAGATTATAAATATGCGTGATAATATTAAATAATAATTGTACAATAATTGTACAAAATAAGAATGCATAAAAACACAAAAACGCAAGTATTACAGTTGCAGAAATCTAAAATAATTATTTAAGATATTTTGTTACATTCTTCTCCAAATAAAACTGTATTCTCGAAGGTGGCGCGGCGGACCATGGAGTGACTGTTCTACTTCCTGCGGCACCGGGGTTCGCACACGGGAACTCGAGTGCGTACAGGAATTAAGGACGTCATTAACAATGAGAATCGCTGATGGAGCTTGCACAGAACCGATAAATTTGCCGACGAGCGAAGCGTGCGAGATGCCGGCGTGTGAGGAGATTAGGCAAACGTCGACGGAGACATCCTCTCAATCACTGGCTCCGCAATGGACCGTGGGTGTTTGGTCACAGGTAATTTTGTTCAGACACATACATTATCTATATCGATAATTTGTTATATAAGAAAAGTAGAGAAAATAAAGCATAACGATATTATATAAGTTTTAATATTTAACAAAAGTTTCATTTTACAGAGCGATATTATGTCAGATTTTGAATTTGTATATTTCAATATTTATTTATATTAATTATATACTTTTATATCTATCATGGGTATAATATTTTAAAACAATTTTTTAAAACAATTTTTCTAATTTTTTTGTTATAAACAATTAAATATGTACAAATATTTGAATGGAGTGATTATAATTTTTTATGTCATTGATTTTTAAGTGTTCCACGTCCTGCGGCGTGGGGAGAAAAACGAGAGTCGTAACTTGCGTTACAGAAGGTGCTCCATGCGATCTCTCGGAAAAACCTGAGGCACATGAAACGTGCGACTTAGGACCATGCCTAGCGAAATCAACGCCGCTGAACGTTGTTTCTGCGAAGCTACAGAATCCGCAGTGGTTATTCACTGAGTGGTCTGACCAGGTGAGCTGTTTACCTGCACTTGCAAGCTCTATGAGAACTGAAAGTATCGTTCTAATTAAGAACTGGTACATGAAAAGCTTACTTTTAATTTTAATAACTTATTGACAGAAGAGTGATAAAAAATGTGCATAAGTTATTATATTTCCTAGAACATCACACTTGAAATTATATTCAGATTAAAAAATTATTATATTGATTTTACTAGCAATCTCTAATTATCGACTTTAGTGCTCGGCAGAATGTGGCACTGGAGTTCAGACTCGGAGAGTTCTTTGCGAGACGAATTCTGACGAAGAACATTGCGATGAATCGAGTCGACCTGAGACTTCCAGAGACTGCTCGAGCAAAAGAACTTGCAGCGGTCAATGGTTCACAGGACCATGGGCGGAGGTCAGGCTTAAATATAATTGTGCAATAAAGCTATGAAAAATAATTTTAAAATAGAAAGTCGTATTATAAAGCTTATAACGTGTTGATTGTGTGTCGTTGTGTATACACACATATATATTATAAGAATCCATAGCAAAAGAATATATATAATTATGTTTGCTTCACTATTTTCATAATTATCTCAATATAAAAATATTTTTAAAATTAATTATTAATGTAACGAGAATTATTTTACATTCTCTAGTGTTCTTCAGACTGCGACGTGGGCGAGCAAGTTAGAGACGTCGTATGTGTTACAACTCTTCGAGGCTCTCTACGTGTCGTCTTAGACATGAATTGTCCTGCGAACAAACCGGAAAGTAGAAGATCGTGCAGAGAGCGTCCCTGCACATCTACTTGGTTCATATCTGACTGGACGCCGGTAAATATTTATTTTATCGCAAGTTAAAATCACAAGATTAATTTCGAAAGCTACGGTAGAACTCGGTAAATTTATACTTGTTTCCAAAAATCGGTTCGCAGTGTTCGCGATCTTGTGGTAAAGGTGTACAGAAACGCGAAGTTCGATGCCTGAATCCAGATGGCCAATTACCCGAATCATATCAGATTCATTGCCGAGAGGAGGATCGACCAGTATCTCGAAGAACATGCAACGATTATTCTTGCAGAGATGATCTACGCACACCTGAAAATTCTCACAGGGTCGTTCAAATCCAGGACGATTCCGAAATAACAAACGGTAAACAAACTTTTAAATTTGAGATACAGATAATATAATTTACCCTTGATATATGTAAAACATTATATATAAAATGATACTTTTTCCATTATATATTAACATTTTATTTATTTCAGGTGTTGAAGACAATCCACTTTGCAAAGACAAAATGCCTAACTGCAATTTAGTCACACAAGCTCGGCTCTGCTCTTATCAATTTTATCAAGACTCTTGCTGCCTGTCATGTTCTCGAGGCAAGCAGGATTTTGAATAGAAATCCCCCCCTCGATCAATCATGTTCATTACGATTTTTTAATGCAAAAAAAAACTGCCTTCAGTAGTATTTCTCGTTAGTATATATCGCCAATTAAAATCCTATTTTTGTCGCCTATTGGTACAAATAACTTTTAATAATTAATAGATAGTAAAACTTTTGTACGTTTTATATGTATAAAAGTATAGATATGCATGTGCTGCAGAGCAATTTTAATACGAAGTCCACGATTTCGTTTGAGCAAGATATTTGATAAAGAAACAGAAGAGACTGATCGCGTGTAATTGCCGGTTCGTTTTAGTGATCTGATGCAGCATTTAAATCCGCACTGTTCTCGAATAACCGTAAATATATATATTGAGCATTAATAAATGTTACGCTTTTTTCTTCTTCGTTGTTCCTTGCTACCTTTTATTTCTCTGCTTCCTTTTTATTTCAACGTTCTAATATTAGTACAAGGAATTTTACGCAAAAACATACTATGTATTATTATTCAACAATAAACGAGGAACGTGTATACTATTTACATTGCCTCTAAAGTATAAACCTACATGCTATATTTTTTATTAATAAAATAAATTATTTATATATATATACAGATAAAAAAATTGTTTAAACTAGACGGGAAGTTGCATCATGGAAACAAGGCAAGTTTCCAGATATTGAACATTGAGCTTGTGAATCTTTGATTAATCTGCTGCTTGACTCAAGAATTATTTATTTCACTTTCCTCCGCGTTGTTTGTACCGTTCTCGTGATTTTTATACGCTGAGAAGAACGCCAAGGCCTTCATCAACTGATAGCTCTTGCTGATGGGTATATTACTGTCGTACAAGTTCTTCGAAGATTTACAGTCTACATAGAACCACCAGTTGCACTTCAGAATCGTTTGATCGAACAACGTCGATTCCGGACACAAGAAACTCTTCATGATCAGGCCGTCGTCCGTCAGTGCGCAAACGTGGAATACCTAATCGGACGAAAATTAATTTCAAGAATTTTTAGAACAGCAAAAACAAATATCGTATAAAATTGGTCAAATAAATACTTTTTTTTAATACAGATTACTTTAATCTAACGTAGTTTTTAAAAGCCTCACCATACATCCCAAATCTTCGTCGGCATAGAGACCTGGGAAATGCTTTTGATCGCCACAATAGAAACTCGTATCCGGCAGATCGACGCGACTTGCGAAATTGTCATCGAAATTCTTGTCATATCCAACGGGATAGTATTCCCGTGGCGCATTCATCACTTTAGTAGCTCCGGAATTATATTTACTGTAAACAAAAACGTTTTAGATTTTTCTTCTCAGTGACTTATCATTATCACATATATTGTCTTGTAATGCATATAAAGTATACGATAAAACATTATACATATATAAGATGTATTAAACGAGATATTCTACACGAAATACGTTTCATTTCCTGTAAAGTAAATGTCTGTATTTTTTTTAAATTAGTTAAATGCCCTGCTTAAAAGATTAGTTAAGTGAAAACGGAAATAAATTTACTTTTTAGGAGGTGCGATTGTAGATGTCGTAGTGGTACTGGTACTTGCAGTGGGTCCCCGTTGCTTTTTAAGAAGCTGTTGTTGTCTTACAAGAATTGCTGCTTCCAGAGCTTCTAGAGTAATATTACTTGCTTCCGCGAGAGCCTTCAAGGAGGTTTCCATCCCTTGGATGGGGGCCAAAGATGGTAAATCGTTGGGCAGTGGCAAAGACTGTCGTTTTTCATTTTGTTGAAGAGGCAGCGATTGACTGGGATCACTTGCAGAAATAGGCTGCAACGAGAGCAACGTCATTTCGTTCACCGAAGCAGCCATCTCGTCGCTCGGCAAAGGCAGCTGTAATAATAACAAAGTAATAATAATATTTAAACTTTACGATCTTCAAATATATCTTTACTGACATCACGCGATTTATTTGCACAAAATATGTTGTGACAGTTTATTGAGCAAGATGTAAAAGTTGAAGTTTAGAAAAGATATATAATTTAAAATGTTTCACTAATTACAACGATAACTATAGTAGTAATAAAATAACAATATTAAATGATGTAAGAGTTATGATGATACAATGAAGTTTTAATAAAATGATTGCTATATAAATACCGTTATACCTGTGCAAAATCATCTTTTGATACTTCGTTATCGGAATCCTGTAACAGAGTGCTACTACCACTGATTCTGTTCGTGAGCTTTGCTGACGACTGCGGCATCGCGATGAAAGGCGGCAAGCCAGCGTTTGCCGAGACTAAATTAGTCGTTGCCTTTGATGACAACGATGTTGGGAGGGCTTCAGCTTCGACCATACCAACTGACGGAATTGCAGCAATGATAGGTAGTTTCGGTATCGTTCCTGCCACCGCTATCATTTGTGGTTGCTGTACCAAGATTCAATCGAATGTATTTTTCACATTTCTCAAAGAGAAATCTTTTCATTGAGATAATAATCAAATAAAATTAGAAATGTGTGCATATATGTCTGATAATGCATATTATTATTTAAATTATTATTTAAATTTAAATTAACAATATTTAATTATTAATTTAATTAAAATAAAAATACAGTATTAAATAAATAATAGATTAAATCAAAATAGATTACCACAATCACTTGGTCCTTCTTGTTTTCTATCGCCATAATCTGCTGCCGTTGTGCGAGCATTTGGTGTTGCTGTTGCTTCTGCTGTTGCTGTATCTTTTGTTGCTGCATCTGTTGCTGTCTCATGGCTTCCTGCTGTTGCAAACGTTGTTGCTTTAATATCTGTAGCGCTAACGCTTCCTGTTGTATTCTCTGCTGCTGCTTTAGCTTGGATTCTTGATGAATTCGTTGGTGATGAAGACGCAGTGCATCTTGCTGCATCGTCGGCATCACTGGTGCCGTTTTAAGAGCTGTTGCGTTCACTATCAGTTTTTGACGTTCAGGCTGCTGGCTCATCGGTCGAGTCGTTCCGATAGGCAACGGCTTGAAGGGCGGTACTACTTGGCGAGTATTGACTGAGCCTGCACGCGTATCATCACGATTGTTTGGCTACAAAAATAGTAGATTTATATTCAGCGTAAAGTAAAAAAAGAATTTTTTAATACCGTTTCTTAAGTCTAATTTTAAGACAGTAAAATAATACAGGGCACACCCAGTTGAGAGCATGAACTTTGCATTTTGTGGAAAGTTACACGACGCTCATTCGTGCATTGCCTGAAGAAATGTCAGTAAAATCGCAACGTGTCATATAAACACGGCACACGAGAATGTATACCGCGCCGGAGCGACATTCACGCACCAGTTGTGACAAGGCCGATATCGGCACTTCGTGTAATCCATATTTTCTTATAGCGATGCAGAAAAACCGATCCATCTTATTCGATCCCCGACCTAGATATTCCCCTCGAGGTGAACAAAGCATCAATAAAGACATTGAATATAATATTTACTGACACTTTTACTTCACTTTTACTGATTGTGTATCTCTAACGCGAAGGGGATTACTGAAACGATTGTAAACTGATACAATCGCTTCAGTAATCCTTTTTGCGTTAAAGATACACAATCAGTAAAAGTGGAGTAAAAGTGTCAGTAAATATTATATTTGCATACAAGCAATACCGTTTCAAAATTAACGTAAACCGCAGTAATACAAGCACAAATTTAATTTGACACAAAATTTTAATCGTTATATTTAATTATAAATCTTTTAGTCAAATTATCAGTATGTAATAATAAAAATTTTACGATAAATTAAATTTCTTCGAGCAAAATGTCGGTTGCGATATAATAAATGCATTAGACACTTTCCTCAAAGCGGCTACGAAATGAAAAGTTAGTGACGGTTATTATATTATATAGAACATAATCCTATGATTATTATTGATCGTTATATACATCACGAGGCGAGATCAAGAAGCTGCCTCGAGAGCAGATGCAATTAGATTGCACACTGTGGAATGGTCAAAGCGGATTTCCAGAGGGGATATTGCCTCTATGAATAACGAGTGAACGCTTTCGCGCTGATCTCTGTCTGCATTGGACTTTCCATGAGCCGATTTGAGTGTGGTTATCGTCGTGATACCTATCGCCGCGTACAGGATGTTCAGCCCGAAAGTATCGTGTAAGCGAACATGTTAAGATTACTGTCGTATAGAGACTACAGAGTATAGAGAGCCTTAGGGCAGGAAGGAAAGTAGCAAATACAAGAAATAAATGCAAAACAAGCGTTAAGCGAAAGTAAAATCGTCATCCTATTTATTCAGTTCATTTGATCGGTCTTTCACGTATATTGTTGTATAGAGATATTATTCATACAAGTATAATATATAATACACATATATATAATTTTTATATTTTGATACTATATTCTAAATGTCTTACTTGCCTACATAATTGGATGAGCAAAATCTGATTGGTCTAGAACTTTTTTACTTACCGTATTCAAAGGATTAAATGCAAGCCCATTAACTCTGTTCGGTTGCACGCTTCTTCTTTTTGCACTTTCCAAATTGGAGAGCGATTGGCTAAAGCCTAGCTCGTCTCCAATGGAAAATCCTGTAACCAAGTAAAATTAAATAAATTTGATTAATTATAAGCATTACACGCAAAATGGAGGGCTTAAATTTTTTAAAATAATTTTGTGAGAAGAGAGCAATAGACAATTTAATTTATTTACAAAGAGAAGGAGACAGTGCTATTGTAGAAAGCTTCCTATAAGTGTGTTAAGAGAATAGAGACGCGTAGTAAAGCGTAGGTACATGTGAAGAGTCACAGTCAATATAAAAGTAGTAGCTTTTTCAGAACCATTTCCACCAATCTTCTTTTCTCCTATTGTCTATTATTTTTTTTTGTAATTATATTTATATAGTCATGTATATATAATTCAGTAGAATTTTATACATTTTTCACACAATGCTTTATATTTGTTTTTATTACATTAAAAGACTTGTATTTATAAAAACCACAGGTTTTCGAAATCTCTTTGTTATCGTATCTTTATTTACGCCAATACAGTGTCTATATTAGCTAACACTAGCACATATAATAATTGCTCAAATGAAACGCCAGTAAACTGGCAGCTGTTGAGGTTGGTAGATATTGTGCAAAAAAGATGTTGCGTCATTTTAACGCCTGGTGGGCTCATTTTTACTATCGACATTTGATCCTCAGCCGCATGCATTAAATACAAATCGTGTCCCCGTCGAAAAGGTCTTCTTTGAAACGAAGATGTATGATGGATAGCTACGCAATAACTGGACCAGGTCAAGGAAGATGAATAAATCATTATATACTTGTCACTGCGTCTTTAAAGACGAAACCGCGATATCGGTCAGAGGGTAGCATTCAATGCGAGTTGCATCCACAGGTTAAGCCATTACATATTGTGCCTATACAGGCCAATAGCTTATTTCGTAATAATCTTGTTAATAACGCTGTTGCAATTTCCGATATTAAAGCAGTTAACTTATACGTAAATCTTACTTGCAAGAGTTTGTTAAGATTAAAATTAATTACGTAATGGTAAAAGATTAAAGTCGTAAGATATTCTCGAAATATATAACAATACACGAAGTGTAAAACTGTTTTCAGTATTTATAATAATTACAGAAAATAGAAAAGCGTAAATAAGAACGTTGTAGTTCGACTTGCTGTCAAGTTATGACATCTCGATCGTTATATCACTTAAATGTACTTGTCACATCTTTCCGACCGAAACTTTATGTAACGATTGCACGCGATTGGATGTATTTTCCGGTAGTGACACGATAAACGCATCCATCAGCACGCACGCAAATAGCATACGGGGTGGGTGAAAATTTTGACGTAACACTTAAATCGCCTTGTTTCTCAATCGTTTGGAGAATATGTATATATATGCAATATATATAAATATTTATAGATATAAATATTTATGAACACGTGAACCGGTAACTATCGGTAAACACTTAATGAAGTGCTTAAAGCAGGTCACGTATAATTTAGAAATCTATGAACATTTGCATTTATTATGCACAAACGTTTCTTTCATGATGTGTGAAAGATGGGTATATCTGAGCAAAGTTTGTTTCACCTATAAACGTTCATTTAACTTGTTACGTGATAAGAATCTTAATTTGTTATTGAAAAGTTTTCATTGCAAACAGTTTTTCTGTAAATAGGACGATCAACATGTTACAAAATCTCTTCACAGTGAATTGGCAAAACAATTTACGCAACGTACAAAAAGGTCGAATGTGCAATTCATCTTTTATTTAAAAACGATAAATATCAAAGGAAGATATGTCAAGGAAAAAACATTTCGACTAGCAATACAAGGACATTAATATACATTTTAATATTAAGTTAAACTGAATTTTAATAAACTTAATTAATATATATTAAATTACTTACTAGTGCTTTAAGCTAAACTCAATTCATTTAATATATAATTTAAATTTAAACTTTTACAAAAGATATCTCATAAAATGGTTTACTATATAATTTACCTCTATGAATGTACCAATAGATTTTGTAATTAAAAACATGTATTTAATAAAATTTAATTTCTTTTTAACGAATTAAATATTCTTAAGAAGGGTTTACTATTCAAAGAGTTCTTTGTCAATTTCCTTAACGTAAATTTAAGACGCGGATATAAACGGGATTTGGTCGATTGATTCGGTTCACGCGATAATTATATCTTCTCAAGGTTATTCGTTTTCTCTACAATCTCCAATATGAAATTAATCGACCGAGCCAGATCGATAAACACGATTATTGGCGATCGCTCCCATCATATTCAACTCACCCAGGCCGACGTAACCCTTTACACCTCCGAGATTTCTGACACGGAAGAGACCGGACTTTTTGAAAGCGCAGTTTAGAACAAAACCAAAGTCCGATTGAAACACGCACGTGCCTAGCGCCTCTCGCCACGTACATCCTGCAAGCAAAACCGGAAGAAACAAAGCCATGGATCGTTTCTCTGATCCAGCGAATCCGAAAGAATGATCTGCGTGATTCGTTATGCTCCGAGGTGAATACAGTTTTATGAGTCTTGAAGTATCAATTGTTTAAAGCTGCATGTTATATTAATGATGTCTATCAAGCTCTTACATGCATTTACGTATACATTTTCGATTATGGAAATTTGATTTTAGTTTGCAACTTTTGTTGTAAACTATTTATAAATATATGAATAAATTGTAAACAAATATTCCTAAGAAATGGTTATTATTTTGTATCAGATTGAATTGATTCAAATTGTTAAATGTCATTATTATAACTAAAATAATAATACAATGATACTACTGTAAAATTTAGGTAAATATAGTTTTACAGTGATATATTAAATAATGATCAGAAACAATATTTTAATCAGAATTGATTGTTAAAAGCAAATGTTGAATAATCAAGGTATATGCTTATACATATATGAATGACATATTTGCGTATTCTGTGCTATTGATTCTCCGTCGCCTGTCAATGTCACGTTTTCAGAAGATATGCTTCCATGTATACAATATTTGCTTAGCAATCAAATAAATAAACTCAAAGAAGATTAATGTTAATATTGGTATTAATCCTTGAAAGTATGTAAAAAAGCTATTACTATAATCCGCAATCTTTTTTATATGATTTATGCACATGTAAACTTTTTAAAATAAATTTCATTAATAATTTAATGCTATAACATACGCAGATATTAAAATAATTTTTAAAATATTTTTATCGCGTACTATAAATTGTTAGTTTCTAATAATGCTTTTTAATTACTAAACAATTATTTATATTCAATAATGTAAAAATTGTGTATCAATCGTATTGTAGACAAATCGAAAGTAACTCTATGAAACCTTTACTTTCCAATCTCCTTTCTCGAAGATTATTGTAAAGATAAATAGCCTTGTCACCGTAACTATCACGACAAAAAAAATAATAGTGATTTATGTCTACGTGTTTTCTCTTTGTTTAGATATTGCCATAAAGAGCTGTGGGCCAAATGCCATTAAATTACCTATCAAAGCAACCTTCACTTTGTAGCAGTTTCTATTTTCAATGATATTACTCTCCGTTAGTAGAAAAAACTCTTAATGATGATATATCATGCCTCACAAATTTTAAAGGCAATTACTTTCTCATTTAGATCCATTTCTTATCTATCTACACTCATTGTGATGATGATTATAGAATGACTATAATAACGCGGCGATTATATTACTTTTCACTTATGTTAAAATAATCTATGCGTATCGAGTAAGTACGCGTTTTGCAAGAATTTGATTCTCTTCTTTGCGGAACGAGTATTTCGTGAACTTCGTGAAAGGTATTTCCGGAATTTGTTTAAGGAATATTTGCCGGATCTGAAGCGTGCCGTTGGGCCATAGCCTAGTGACCCACTTGAAACCTGACTAAACGCCCTGGCGTTGACCGAGCACCATGTGTTCCATGGTTTCCATGTGGCCCAACTGCTTTCTTATCGATCCACAAATTTATGAGACTTCTTCTCGAATTTCCGACTTTCGACTGATGCATTCATCAGACTTGGATACATCGCAAGTATTTACAAATCGCTTTTAACTTCAATATCAAAGCCAACATAACATTACATTCATCCACCGGAAATTGAAAAATTTTCGCCATCAGACAATTAATTTGTGAGAAAGAACATTGTAAAAATAATAATTAACTTATTCGTTATGAAATGTTATTCGCAGACTAGAGAAAACTGACAGCTGAGATCTTTTTTCTTGATTAAAAACAACCGGATGAGAAATAACAAAACTTTGAGAAAGAAATTATATAGACGGCTCAAGACGAAGAAGAACACAAATTGTCATTGATAAAAATAAAATTAATAATTAACAGAGCATTATTATTGTAATTAACTGTTTCGTCATCTCTACTGATGAATTTCCTTATAGGTAATAAGGAAATATAGTCAAATAAGGTATATTTGACTATAAGTATATAGTCAAAGAGAATCGGTACACTGTTCTTGCTTCGGATTTATTATACAATCGCGTATTGCACTATGACGTACGAAAGTCGGCGAAACGAGTGGCGTTTCGTAATGTAAGAAATTATCTCTGAATAGAAATTTTACCGTTCCAGTCCGATAAACGGATGTAAACCCCTTTTTTCTAGAGCACTACTGGTAATGACACGTCGCGTGTGTGTCATTCGTGATAGTGAAAAGCAAAAGAAATCAAAGCCGGGAAATTTCACCGTGATTCGTGATAAATTAGGTGCTATCCGATCACATTAGTTATATTCAAAACAGCATTTACGGTTGAACGCATATGTAGGTTTATTAATTTATATTTACATACACCGATATAATAAAAAAAAATAAAATGTTATTATGTATGTGTACAATTCAATTTAATATAACTATGCTTGATAGAACGAATACCAACAAGATACATTACTCATCTTGCTGCACAAATAAATGATAAATATTTTAGCAAAATCAATTCTTTTATCAAAGAAACTTGTTTTACAATATGCTTTAGACCAAAAATGGCAAATAGCGTTTTTTGGCAAAACGACGATGATGATAAATTCACACATCTGTGGTACAGATCTCGCACGTACATACTTTCACTGTTTCGCTTTTGAGAGATGCCTGATGTAACAGAGTCACGATATGATTCTTAAGAGTTATATTAGGTTCTACGAACGACGGCAAAATTCACTTTTCTTAACCGGGATTCTCATCATTGAACGACATAACAATGATCGTGTACGGGCGAACTGTGTAATACTTTTCTAAGGCTGGCCTTCACCTTGACCGCCGGCTGCTTCGATAATATTACTATTATTATCTTTACTCTATCAGCGGATTACAGAGAGAAAGAAAGAAAATCAATGCCATCAACGTTTAGAAACTAACGCCAGTCTCTCCTCTCGCAGACACCAACAATTGTCGACGATAAAATAAACATCCAACGATCCATTAAATTGTATATAATGATTTGTCGAACGCGATCATTAATCAAAGCAAAATCGCTCAAATAAGGGAAAGTAGAGCACATTTCTTCGCGAAATGTATTCTGACGTATTGTGACGTTTATTATTTTGAAGGAAAATAAAGTAATTTGTAATCTAAAATAAATTGCACAGATATTATTATTATCACATAAATTATTAGGTACAAAACATTTTTTATACAAGGTATCAGATTTGAGATAATAAAATGACGATTAAAAAAAATAAATTTTATCTGACAATTATAAATTTAATAAATGACTAACGTCGACTTAACGAGAGCGGCATTGTTGGACGCAACTAAATAGAAAGTATGCGCACAGATGACATTTACATAGACAGGTTGGCCTGATTCCCCAAATACGCATCCCGTGAATCTCGGTAAAAGGATTATCGACAGAAGCAACTGGTCATTCTTTCAAGGTAGCCTAATTTTTCACTGGACACGTCGTCAATGCAAAGTCATTCAAAACGGTACATTCTCCTATTTTCGTGTCACGTATTGCTTTATTGAGCTTGAAGAAATAGATTGCATACGTAATTATAGTTATTGTTTACAAATAAATTAATCCTGGCAATATATAACGATCTTAATATTTTAAAATATATGAGATTGCGTACATTTAAAGTCAATTGTGACGCGCATCTTAAAAGCATTTAATTAAGGTCAAATAAATAAAATTTATTCGGAACAGATTTAGTAAATCAAATCAGATTTCCTTAACGGATCTGCAGTTTGGTAAAAGTAGCGACCGGTTAATTTAGCAGTTAGTCAATACAGGAATAATTAACCTCGATACAACTTATTATCTATAAAAAAAAGTATATTTCACTTTAACGCCAAATTCTGAGCCTAGCAAACTTGTGTTATAGTTACTTTTCAGTTCATAATAATGCAGACACAAGTACGACAGTCGTTTTTTCGATAATCGTGGGTGAAAGCTTTTGCGCATCTTATTTAATTATGCGTCACATCCGTTGACAAGTTATAAGTTTATATCAAAAATAAGGTTTGCATGCTGCGATATCACAGGAACTTCAACAAATACGCATACCTCTTTCTCTTCTTTTTTACTTTTGTAAAAATAATACACAATTATATAGTTGAAGAAGCGAAGCCGACTTTGATTCCTTTCTCCTGGATCACTTTCGATGACGATCATCTAGCGATCAAAATTGCATACTTTCGTCGATGTCCTGCTTTATTTTTTCCACTCTACATTTCGCGACGCGTGCACCCAATCTTTTCGCACTTTCTATCCTGCATCACTGAGCAAATCAATGACCATACTTTTCTCAATGCGGTAATTTTTAACCGCCTACGCGTTACGCATATTGTTGTACGTAAGGAACGTTTTGTTATATGAACTTGTTATCGAAACATATGTAATTTTATGATGCTGTCAGGAAATCAAATAATATTTAAGCTTTTCTTTAATTATTGAAAAAAAATAATATTGTTGGAAATTATTAATTCTACAAATAAAATTCTAATAATAATTTAAAAAATACACAAAATAATCATGTGTATTTGTATAACAATAAAAAAATAAAAGAATAATACAAAAAAGTTATATGTGCAAATTTTTGCAATTTCTTGGATCAAATATTTTATCGTCTTATTTATGTATAATAATATCCTGTCCTAAATATTACCATCAATAATCAATTTATCGAAAGTTTTTAAATTACAATGTACATATTTATTTTAGTAAATAAAGTAATGAGCTGCAAAACAAACTTTATATTTTCAAGGTGTTATTAAGCCTATTTGAGCAATGTACACGCACAAAAGAATAAATTGGTTAACGTAGCGAGAGCCACGGTTAATTATACAGTTTCATCATTTTTATTTACACATTATGTACACATATTTATAGATATACGATATGTACACCGACTCGTTTCAATAACTTCCTTTAAAATTTAATTTGCAATTACATGTATTTAACCAAGAAGATTCTATTATATCTCTAACGTATATAAAAATACACTTTTTTAACATGCTTACTTTATACAATTTTAATAAAAATACTATAAAATACAGCTACTATGCTAGAATTACTACTTACAAGTATTTTGATTGGCTCTATTTATTCTAGAAAACAGATTATATTATTTATAAAAAAATGTTTTCATTATCTTTTTTCAAAAACACGATTTTGGTTAGAGAACTGCGTCTTTTTGCAAAAGTATTAAAAGTTTCCGTATAAAAATAGGTTAAAATATTTTAGAAAAGAGATTTCCACTGATCCTGACGCATCATGACGCATAATAATGCATCGAGTGCAACGGACTACCTGTATCAACCTGCGAGAAGTCCGACTGCTTTTCACAATGCGTAACCATCACAGTCACGCTCAGATCATTGCAAACAGTAGCGTGAAATTACGGAAAATGATATATTTTTACACAACTCACGTATCTAAGTAGGATATATGAATTTTCCGCGAAGTATAAAATGCCTGCTTACTGTAACGTTGTAAACAAAGGCCTATTATGTACAAATGCACTTTGTCACAGAACGAGAAATTTCTTCGCTAAAGAGAAACAAGACCATTAGTAGAGTAAGAAAGAGATACGCTGATTAATTGATCGATTTACAGCGTGAAACGTGCAGTCAAGTCAAGAATAATGTACAGACGTCGAAGTCGATAGCACAGAATAAAAATTATGCAGTTCATACAAGGCGCAATAAAAATGAGAGAAAGGCCCAACAAATGAAATCGTGTAAAAAATGCCGACGGTTTTTGCGATCGGCTTTCAAATTCGACTCTACTGCAAATCGTTCATTTAAAACTTTATTATAACATATCTGAATATTGCATTAAATACTAATTATATTCTTTAGTGACCAGTAGAAAATCAATATGTCATTTTAATGGTATTAAAATGTTTCTTTTAACAACTGACAATGAGAATGTATTTTATGACAATTTACTTCAAAATAAAGTTTAATTAAAAGATTTTTTTATTGATTATTGAAAGATTAACACAATTAATATCAAAGTATTAAACATTTTTTTATTTTAAAAACACGATTGAATAGGGAAATTTGAAAACCGATACTTATAAATGTTAAAAGAAATATTTGATAATAGTTTACGTTTATGTGTATCGAGAATGCATTTATAGCGCGATTGTCCTATTCTATTATGGCACAAGAATTAATTCTTATGTTGCAAAATTGACGGCATATAGATGTGCATCTTAAGCTCTGCGCTTATTTGACATATACAATATATATTTTTCAGATTAACTTTACTACACAATTGCATGAATACAAATATTCCACAAAACTGTCAATCAAAGCAATGCATTAACGTATAGATATCAATAAGCGAGAAATAACCGGATGCACAACATGCACATCGATAGCCACTGTCTGTTCTGCATTTTACGCATCTTGCGCGGTAGAAGTAGCGCAGCTGGATGGTTTTCCATCTGTGACGTTTACCTCGATAAAAATTTTAATTTTGCACTTAAAATTAATTTGAAATTTAGTTAATAAATCACATAACATTGATTTAAATATTGCAATGCAAGAATGAAAAAATAAACTTAAATTGCTAAAATTGATTCAAAATTTCTCGAAACAGTTTTATATAATTTAATAAATAATCTAATAATTTGATAAAGATTTATAAAAATTATATTCTTTCTTCTTTTTTTTTCGTAAAAGTACGAGCATAAATAGCATATTTTTTAATAAATCAACAAAAAGAAAAATAAAGAACCAGCCACGCCATTTCTTGAAAAAAGAAACAAATTACTTACCGACGACCACGAAGAGGAATAATGTAGTGGCGATTTTCATTCTCGATCCAGTTTTGATTATCACTATCCTAAATGATCTCAAAGAGTCGTCGATCCTCGCGAGACGATCCTGAGAATCGTTAGGAACGAGGGATAAAGTAACAAGCGCAAGGATTATCGCGAAAATAATTTGCTTGCAGGTTGAGCGAATCTTTACTATATAGGAACGATCAACGACTACCGGTGAAAAACGTGCGGCAAGCTACTCGATCTCGCGGATACTAATAGTACATGGACATGCTCGACAAAGGCGAGCACGCGGGGCACTTTCAGACTTCATCTGGCTTTCAGGGCCGAGCCACACAAGTCCTGGGACTTTACACTCTCTGATATCCCCTCTCATACACGGAGGACATCTCATCCAATATAATATTCTAAAATTGAAATTTTGTAATCGATGCATTTTCTAAACTTGACAATATATGTTTTCTTAATTTGTAGTGATGAAACATACATGTGATCGATTACTCTAAAAATTACTTTTTAACTTTAGTATTTATCTCTTGTTATTTATTTTGTGTGTTTTTAAATTATACGTTTATTTTAATTTTAAATTAAAATAAAATCTGCATACTACACTCGTAAATTTAATATTTAAGAATGCCATATAACTTCTTTTAAATTTAAAATTAACTTTCAAAACTTTTCTTAATTTATTATGATACAAAAAGCAATGTTCAAAGTATATAATACAATATTCAAAGGAATTGATTTTATTATTATACAACATTATATCAAAGTTATTTAGTAATCACTACTTAACTATTCTTTTTATCTCATGAGATATTAACAAATGAAAAAATTTGAAAAATTTTTTGAGAGACACTTAACACTTTATTTCTCATATTTGTTTTCTTTTTTCTTTTTATTTTTCATTCAATTGTTTATTTAATTACATCTCTTCCGTAAAAGCATAATCTTATTATATATAATTTAAAACATCGGTTTTTATTACATATCATTATGTGTAAAATTTAAAAATTTTACTAAAATAAAATAAAAAGTTAAACAATTATGTTTTAAATATCAATGGAGATTTCTTGTAAAAACAAGCCGTCCCTGCGTGCCCCACCACGTTTTCACTGAGAACGGTCCGCTCACGGAACAAGTCCGATGCACGGTTGCGAGTTAATCTTGGCGAGGTGCCGGTGACCCACTCGGACGAAACGATAACGGGACCGACATGCGTCCATTTAAAGACAACCAAATCGACCATGATGGCTGAACATTTGAAAAATAGAAAAATATTCAGAAAGTTTATTGTTTCTGAAAACAAATTGCACCTAGATACAACAGTGGTTTTTGAACGAGAGAGAGAGAGAGAGAGAGAGAGAGAGAGAGAGAGAGAAAGAGTTCTATTTAATAAGTTTAAATTTATTATATTGTATTGTAAAAGAATTTAAAAGTATACTTTTGTAGATATATTTTAAAATACAATTAAAAACGATAAATTTATTTTGTTATATATAGCCCATATAGTGTAAAATTCTTCAGTTCCTTATGATATTATTTTAGAAGCTTGAAATATAAACTACAAGAATCACTGCATCAGGAAAAAAAGCCGAAGATCTATATGTGCTAAAGAGATAAAAATTACGCACATAAAATAGTTATAAAAATATTAAAATTAAGAAATAAAGCTGAAGCATACCTACATGTGTGCTGGATCTTATTTCTAATTTTCAGTCGCAAATCTCAAGTGAAACAAAATCAAAAACCAACCGACCCTGCACAGACGATTACGTAACACACATTGTTGCGTTGATTTTCCGGCAAAATTGCACTGCACATTCGGTGTAGGGGAAATAGAAAAGGAGTTCGATGGGAAGATTAAACACCTCGTTCGTGACTGGTGTGAATTACACATCGACGGTTGCGTTCGAGAGAGAGGGAGGCATGTTTCGTTGGATACAGCATGCACTTTCATCCAACCGTTTCAATTCTAGAAGCTACTAGTGCATAATGCACTTGACCATGCAAAAGCCGAGAGTGGGTCAAGGTTTAATTACGATTGAGCTTTATTATTTTATGGAGCGTCAAATTATATTCGTCGGAATTTTAATTATTTTAATAATTCTTATTATACGAGTAATATCGCTCTCTATTAAATCATGCTGTAATAAGAATATTCTGCCCAAAGATGCAACAATAGAAAGTATGTCCACAGTTTAAAAGACTGACAGTTTTCAGTTAAGAGTTTTGGAAAGTAATATTTCGTGCATTAATAAAGAATCTATTGATTAATTAATCAATTTTGAAGACACAAAAACTTTTCTTTATTAAAAATACAAGTAACATGTATACTTAAAGTAATGAAACCAAATTATCGACAAGAAGTTTGATATATTCTGCATTAATTTAATGCATTAATGTCCATATATATAAATAAAATTTTTAGTTTGCAATATTTGAAAACTCTATTTATTTACTATTATTTCATTATTATTTTTTTACTTAGAAGACCGGGTAATCTTACTTCATGATTTATGAATTCAATGCTTGCAAGATTTTGCAAATATTAATTACAAACATTATAATAATAATTATTATTTTGGTTTGTAGTAAAAAGTTTCTTTCAGTTGTAAGAAAACTTGTATTTTTCTGTCTGCTGTTGTTCCTTAAGTTTACGTAATTTATTCTGTAAATATTCAGATTTGGATCTTTTTTATCAGCTTTGTTTGTATATATGTGTTGAAATGTTATATTCTGAATCATTCAACACACGGTGTTTGACGTAATAATTTTAAAGTAGCTTCAAGCTTCTTATTTTCTTCTCGGATCATCTTCACCGTATTCTGAATATAATTGCTCCGTATCTCTAATGCAGTTTTCTCATTACTAATAATTCTCAATTTCTTCTGCATTTCTGCATGCTTCCGATCAAAGTTTTTTATCACTTTATACTGCTTTTCTTTTATGAGTGTCAAAAACTTTATTTCTGTTTGTAATGATTTCCTTTCCACATTACGTGAAAGCTTTATATCTGACTTTACTATCTCGTCGAGGTCATGTTTTATCCTTCTTAGTCGTGCTGGCAGTTGTTTTTCTTCAAATTCCTCTGGGTTTTTGAACTTTTTAATATTCGGCACTTCTTTTAATAAGACATGATCCTCAAAGTTTTGGGTTAAAAAACTATAGTTGTAATTATTACTTAATAACTGTTTTTTCTGCTGAAGAACCTCTATTTTATTTTTTAATTCTTGTAACGCTGATGGATTAGAAAATTCCTTAAAATCAGATTTCTCTTTTGTATTTTTAACGTCATCATCTTCCGAAACATCGTATTGTATTGTACAACTCTCAGTTGTCTCTTCGTACTCGATTGGAATCTATTGAAAGCAATGAAAGCAATACAATTTAATTAATTATACTTTTTTACATGATTGTGTAAAACTGGAATATAAAATTAAATTCTATAACTTCTAAGAAAGATACTAAACTTAAATAAAATTAACTCTTACAGAAAATAATATATTATTGTAATATAGTCATACTAATAAATTATTTATTAAAAAATTAGAAATTAAAAACTATAAAAATTAAAATTATTAAATAAGGACAGATAGATAAGAAACAAACGTAGTAATAAAAAATAATGAAAGTTACAATTATATAGTTTAAAGTAATATTGTCATTTCTTCTGCTAAATTGCTAAACTTGAGATATGTGTTATCGGTAAACAATATATAATGTCATACTTAATTATTTATAATAAATTATTTATAAAAAAAAACTATAATCTCTATAAAAAAAACAAAGTGATACTGTTTTGTATAATTATCACTTAATAATTACCTTTTCTGCTGGTAACAACTTTACTTTCTTTTCAAATACTTGTAATACTGATGGTACCTTTGAATTACAATGTTCCTCAAAATCTGATATTCCATTCGCGTTTGAAACGTTCTTATCTTTTCCCAAAGTGTCATATTGCACTATTTGTTTTTCGGTTGTCTGTTCGTACGCGATTGAAATATCCTGAAAGAAGTACAATTTAATTAATTGCATTTCTTTTCTTAATTATGTAATGCAGAAGCATATAACTAAATTTTATAACACTTCAGAAAGATATTATACTTAAATGAAAATAACATATTTATAGAAAATAATATATTACTGTTATACAGATACTTATAAATAATTCATGAAACTGTTGGAACTGTAAAAAACTGTAAAAAAGTCAAACAATACTATTTAGTAATTTTCACTCTATATAACTATTGTTTTCGCTGCAGGAGCTGTACCTTCTTTTCAAACTCTTGTGACGCTAGTGGTACCTCAGGATTACGGTATTCCACAAAATCTGTCGTATTTTGAACGCCCTCATCTTTATACGAACTGTCACATTGCGTTATATGTTTCTCAGCTGTCTGTTCGCACGCGATTAAAATATCCTGAAAGCAGTAAAATTTAATTAATTATAACATTGCTCTTTTTAATTGTGTAATGCAGGAGCATAGAATTCAATTCCACAACTTTTAAGAAAGATATTATACTCGATAATATAATTAATATTTACAGATAATAATGTTACACTAATATTGTTGCAGATAAAATGTTCATAAAAGTTTAAAGTCTGTAAAAACTACGAAGATGCTGCTTTGTCGTTATTATACTTAATAAGCTATTAATTTCGCTGTAGGAGCTCTACTTATTTCGCTATAGGAGCTCTATTTTAGATCCACGTATCATCTTTTGAATCGCTAATGCTGCTAGATGCTGTAATACCTGTCGATTACTACAATCCTCAAAATCTGGCACTTGTTTCGTACTTGGAACGTCTTCATTTTTTTTCGAAGTATCATATCCTTTTGTATAGCTCTCAGCTGTATCGTCGAAATCAATTGAGGTACACTGAAAGCAGTAAAATTTAATTAATTACATTGCTCTTCTTAATTATGTAATGCAGAAGCATAGAACTAAATTTTATAACACTTTAGAAAAATATTAGGGAGAGTCCGGGAGACTTGACCATAGAGGAGAGTTGAACCACTTCAAATATCTCGTTCAAATTTTGAACAAAGAGCTCAATCCAAGCACGTGACAACATGACGCTTGGTAGTGCGTTTCGACTGTGAGTGAGACAAACGTGTTTTAACGTGCTCGGATTGAGCTCTTTGTTCAAAATTTGGACAAGATATTTGAAGTGGTCCAACTCTCCTCTATGATCAAGTCTCCCGGACTCCCCTTATACTTAAATAAA